TGGCTATGCCATAGGTTCCCGGTATGGGCTCACCACAGCAGTCTATGTTCATGGGCAGTCCCTCCCGTGCACCATTCCAGCCTTCCCTCCAAGGCTGGAATGGTGCACGGGAGGGACTGCCCATGAACATAGACGGGGGGTACAAGCAGAGAGGGGAGGGGGAGGGGTATGGAGATGGGGATGGGGTATGTTGCTCTTGAGTGACGGGTCGGTGGGGTTTTAGGTGGTGCTAGCTTGGTTTTCTTAATTCAGTTCACGTAAACGCCAATCTATTCTTTTAAGTAATGTGTCCTGGCATTAGTCTAATAATCACTTAAACGGATACTATTTTTCAAAATCACAATGTCTAATTGTATTGCAAATGGAAGTTGTTTGTGCTACCGGGAAAGGACCTTAACCTTACCCCTAGGAGGACTCTAACCCTCTGTTTTCTGTGAGAAATAATTGCCTGTTTATTTTTGTTCGGTCTTTTTTAATTTAAAAATTTGGAAATTAATAGGCGAGGACAAGGATGATAAATAAAATGGCAAATACAACTAATGAAAATGGAAATTTGGTCGATGAGTTTGAGGAAGCTTTCCAGGTAACATATCTCATCGAAATTAATTCTAACCCTTCATATTATTGTTAAGCTTTACTCTAAGACTGTCTGGAAATATTTATTCAATTTTCAGGCATGCTTAAACGTTTTAACAAGAGATGAAGCCCTCTCCCACATGGAGAAAGATGAAGTCAGAGCAGAAGTTGATCAAACCATTAGCAGAGTCATTGATTTGGCTCGGCAGACAGAAGGATATTTCCTTCAGAAGAGGTTCTTGCTTTCAGCACTGAAACCTGAATTAATTGTGAAGGAGGTATGATTCTTTGTGAAATTCGTGACCTGATATTATGATCTTGCACATCGCAATTTGTATTGTAAATATAGCGAGTTGTTGCCAACTGATCTTTTCCTGATTACAGGACATAGCTGATTTAAAAGCTGAACTTACCCGCAAGGACGAATTGATAAAGAAGCACTATGATAAGATAAACCAATGGCAGAATCTGCTAATGGACTTGCGAACGGGGCAAGGTCAGGCACAACCAGGACACCCCCCAGGCCAACTAATGGCGCAACCTAATGGTATGGAGAGGCAAAGCCACACTCACCACTCCTCCCCAGTGCGAAATGCATTTTTTGTAGACCTTGGAACAATGTTATTACAATGTCATAAGTCGAAATGAGGCACAGTTTTAAGTCGCTGACGACTCAAACCTGTCCACAATTTCGATTGCTGATATCACATGGACATCATTTTGACATCGACAAATAATTCATTTCGCACTGGGCTTGGTTATTATTTTGCAATAGGTGACTGCAGTGATCTTTGTTTAGGTATGCCTCCAGGAGGGCCACCTATGGCTCCAGGTACTCCAGGGGCTAATGTTCCTGGGAACCTGCAACAACTTCAACAACAGCAGCAGCAACAAATGCAAATGCAGCAACAGCTACAGCAGCAGCAGCAACAGCAGCAGCAGCAACAACAATCTCAACAGCAACAGCAGCAACAACAACAAATGCAAATACAACAACAAATGCAGCATCAACAGATGCAGCAAATGCAAATGCAGCAGCAGGTATGTTCTTTCTTCCTTGTCTACAATCCTGATCACGATCACCTCCCCTTGCCCATGTCTCATATGATTTATCTCTTACATGGCTATGCTATAGGTTCCCGGTATGGGCTCACCTCAGCAGTCTATGTTCATGGGCAGTCCCTCCCGTGCACCATTCCAGCCTTCCCTCCAAGGCCCTCTAGCCTACCTGGAGAAGACCACCAGCAACATTGGAATGACAGATGGCCGCCGGTGACGAGGGCGAGGGAGGGGTAGGGGCCGCACACGAAGCAGGGGGCGAGGACGAGGACGAGGCTCTGGCCGTGGAGTTCTTGACTATGACCCCTTGGCCACTGCACCCTAGACCCTCCCAAGCCGGGCTCAGCCGGGCACAGCACACGGTGTGGTATGCTGAGTTGTCTCCTATCTTCCAGAGTGGGCCTTTGCACTGAGAGTGGGAAACCTCTTGAGTTGTTAGAGCCAATTACCCAGTCAACAGCATTGTGCCAAAATTACATGAAATGAGGTCAAAGTCAAGATTTGGCCATTCTAGTGGCTTCAACTTCAACTTCAAAAAGGGTTCATTTTGGCAAAATCCTGTGGACTGTGTATATATCTGTAATGACTAGGCCAGACTAGAAGTGGCATTGTTCCAACCACTGGAATTTGTTGTGTAAAATCCAATGGTATATACAGGCTCAGCTCACTCTGGTTTGAAATGGAGGGGGAAGAAAGTGAGAAAGAGAGACTTTTAAATTACTCATGCAACAAAATTCACACACAAGTGCTTCCTAATTGTTGATATTATGTAAGTTGTTTATGTTTTATGTATTCTCTTTTTCTTGTTGGTTTTTGAGTGTTTTTCCATGGTTGACTGTTAACTTTGTGGCAAAATTTGATTCAGTTTAGGTTCTAAAATTCTAAAATTGCCTTCAAGTAGTCGATTCTACTTGGAATGTCTTTTTGGCATTTTTGAGTTAAGTCAAGGTGATTGAAGTTGAGACGGATTGTTTAATCTTGATAAATTTTCATTCCAGTCCTTTTGAATGCATAGTAATTTTGGAAAGACTATTTACTAATTTTACAATACAGTACTACTCTTGTGAGATGCAAATCCTGCAGTTATTTTTGACTGCTAGAGGACTGTTACTACATATGTGGTCTCTCTTGCTTTCCACTTTCTCTGTTGAGTGTGAAGGAAGATTTCCTTGTTTGATTTGTGTGTCTGTGTTCATCCCCTTTGCTTCTCATTGTCAGTGTGGCCTTGGATCATCATTAGTACTTCTGTATAATCGCTCATGTTATTTTTGTTTTAATGGAAAATTGTAAATTTGTAATTAGTTTTGTAGTTACCATATGTAAAATATGTTCTAAAGACAGGTTTCATAGATGAATTTGACTTTTTTTCCACATTTGTAAATATGCCGTTCACTATTACTATTATTGATGAAATAAATTTCATCTGTTTAAAAATAAATTGTCTTTAAGTTTTAAATCTGCGATATTTTTGACAAACATCTTAGATTGTTAACTTTTCAAACTTTGTTATACATCTGGACAAAAAAACAAGATTAGATCAAAAGGGTACAACTTTTATTACTACAAATGCAATCTTACTTTTACAGACAGAAGGCACTTGATTGCCAATGCAGTATTCAAAAAATCAACTTTATTGTGATTTAAGGGACTGCTGCACTAAAAATTGAATGAGCGTACGAGTTGGCCTCCCCGACATACCTTTGCCTAAATATTTCATCTGGTTACCATCATCCATAACACCTGCCATGTCAAGATGCATCCAATCTCCTTTCGGAGCAAAGTTCTGTAAAAATAATAATTTTGAGATGAATAGCCCAACAATTGATACTATCAAATACCAAATTACACTATAAAGAACTTACTTGTAGGAATGCAGCCGCAGTACATGAACCACCTCCATCAACATTGCTGATATTGTTCATGTCAACGTGCTGATAATCTGTCAGACACATTTTGATTAAAGCCTATATTTTGATTTAACAAACCAGCAGAGTACCAACAAATACATACCAGTCATGTTTTTGTTGAAACAATCCCAAAGTGGGAAGCGCCACATGCGATCACCAGTCACAATTCCCGCCTTCTCTATTTCTTGCCACAGAGGTGTAGAGCTTGAAAAAGTTCCCGTGGCAGCCCCACCAAGAGCCACTCTCATTGCACCTAACAGGTATTATTTTATGTTGAGTATAAAAAGGTTAATTTTTTGTGGTAATCAATTACATTGAAATAAGAACTTTTACCAACCTGTCAGAGTTGCTATATCCAAAGTAAAAGAAGGATCAAATTGAGCAGCATAGCAAAGAGCGTCAGCCAAAATAAGTCTTCCCTCTGCATCGGTATTGTCAACTTGGATAGTCATACCATTCATGGCAGTGAGAATGTCTCCAGGCTTTATGGCTGAGCCACCAGGCATATTTTCAGTCAGAGGAATCAAACCTGTCAAAAAAAGGGGGCGGGGGTGATAGTGAGAAAATAAGCACTCCACAATAAGCCCAAAAAAACAAACAAAATTACAAGAAAATGTGTCTACCTTTCAGATTGATGTTGAGTTTTAACTGAGCTACAGCCTGAATTGTCGATACAACACAGGCCGCTCCCCCCATATCACCTTTCATTGTATGCATTCCTTTGGAAGGTTTAAGACTGATTCCACCAGTATCAAAAGTAACACCCTTGCCAACAAAGATATATGGCTTTTGTTCTTTAGGGCCATTTGAGTAGGTTATTTCCAGGAAGACAGGAGGCTCTGAGGAACCTTGAGCAACCCCAAGGAATGATCCCATTTTCTTACTTTCTGCCCATGCCTTATCATGAGCAATAACTTCCACTCCAAGAGGTGTTAAAGCATCCTTGGCGTTCTACAAAGGTAAGAAAATATTAGAAAAACAAACAAACACAACAGTGTCAACATGATTTCTTACCTGAGCAAAGATTTGAGGAGTCATTAGGTTGCTGGGGGTAGACATAAGTCTCCTAGATAAATTTTGAGCTTGGGCAAATATGACTCCTTTCTCCCATTCATTGCTAAATAAATAATACATCCGTATTAGACAATGTTCTAAGAGGTAGTAGTTATAACTTAACACCTTTTAAAACTATGAGTAGGCAATGATATGAACAAGTCATACTAACAGTCCATTTTCTCCATAAAGTTGAATGGTTGTGTCTGGCTTTTTTTTTGATCTGTACTCATCATACACCCAGTTGTGCAGAAGAGCTCCTTCTGCTGCTGACTGAGCATCTCCAAAGCTTTCTACTCTTATATCGTGAATGTGTGCTTTCTTAAGAGAAGCACAGCCAACTGAAAATTGCACAACACAATTTATGAAGAGAAAAGAAGGGGAAAGTAAAGATGCATGAAAAAGAACACTTCTAACCTGCAGCTGCAGTGCGCACAGCCTCCTTTCCTTGATGAATTGATTCTGATTGATTCACACCTCGATCTTTGTCTCCTAAGCCGACAACAGCAATTGCTGTTGCCTCTGGAATGACATCATAGAAAACATACCCTTCACCTTCCTTGATTTCCGGTCCAGCCCTGAAATCAACAAGGGTTTAGTGAAAAAATATCCAGTTATACAAAACTGGAAAAAAAAAAAAAAAAAAAAAATCAATCTTGATCAATGATATTTTTTATGAGGAGGTAAGTGACACTTTATGTTGATGTAAGCAGAAAGGTAACAAAAAGAGTGTGAAAGAAAATACAGAAAGTTTAACTATTTATTTGACAACAACAACAATAATAACAAAGCAGCCTATTGGGGGTATGATTTATCAATAACTACATCAGAAGTTTGAAAGGTTTTTACAGTACCAGAATAAGCAGACTTTAAGAGAAGTTATTTTGGACACAAAATTTTTAGGATGCATCTCCACAGGTTTAAAAGAGTTGTTCTAGGCTCAAATGTTAACACAGCACTCTTATATATGTATTTGATCGATTTGATCTAACTCAAATTTGTGAGACTGAATGCTCCACCCATTTACTACTTCCTTCTCTCTTCTTATTAATGCCAATTAAATCTATAAGTGCTGAAGAGGAATGATATAGCTACCTCTAGAGAGTAGATTTGAATTAATATTTACTTCTACGCTTAGTTTTGATGATTTAATTTTAAACATGTGAGGAGATCAAAAAAACACACATGTAACAACACAAAAAAGTACTGTTATCACAATTACAGAATTGAGTCATCATACTAATACCACGGTAATAACATAACTAATTGAGAGGTCAACAAAGCATCACTCTTTTAAGCCAAAATAAAGAAATTTTCTAGATTTTGTATGATGTAGAGCGAATGAAGTAACGTCAGCATGTTTCCTCGGAAATATGAAACGGGGAGTGGTGTGGATGCCAAAGGTTGGGGGGTAGGGGTCTTAACACAAGAATCTAGACAACATTTTTAAAAAAATGCAACAGTCCTTTGTGTCTTGAAAGAATTTAAAATTTATCACTTGAGATTAAAAAGGAATGAATCCATACCTCTACTGTCACTTTCAATAAATCAACTAATTAAACATAGCAATGCCCACAGGAAACATCTAATTCGATCAATAAATCAGTTGGCTCTTTTGATGATTTGATTCATAGATAACATTTTATATCAATCACATATCAATAACAGGTATCATTACTAAAGGTTTTAAAGGGAAACAGCACAATTGTTCCAGCACAAATGGTCAAATTACTTTTCTTTTTCTGACAATTCAAGAGTTGCATATTTAAGTGACTTCTAGCACTTTTCTTTTTGTGCAGGTTGATCTCAGAGAGAAGAGAAGAAGCGGAGATGGAAAATCAAATCATTTCTGAATATTTTGTTGAAACTTACATATTTGGGCAAGTTAAGAAATCTGGTATGATCACAGCAAGCTTCTACATCTAACCATTCAAATACTAGACTTTGTATTATACACTTAAAGATTTTCTCAGCCTAAGGCTTCAAGTATGTCTCTACTACTTTTGTTGGGGTGGCCAACTAAACAAAGGAATTTTGTTTCTGGAGGTTATTACATATTTAAGCACCACTAAAAATGTAACTCTCCTTGTCATGAAGAAATGAGGACGGGTAAATCATAAGTACTACAAGTCTATGAAATATATCAAAGTTGGCATAATGACTAATCAATGGGAAAATTAACTAACAGGAAGGGTCCAGTTCGACTAACCTTATCTCCTCCTTGAAAATTTACTAATAAGAAAATACTTTTCCAGTTCAGACTAATTCCAGTATTTTTATGATGCCCTGGCTGTTGGCAGACACCACAACATTTGAGTTCTGTCTCCAACAAACAGCAGACACAAACTCTTTTACATCATCTTCTTTCCTATCTTTCTCCAAAATGCTTCTAACAGCATCAAATTTAAAACTGAACAGTTGTTTTGTAAGGCCTTTGTAGTACACATACAGGGAATTATTTTCTGAGCCACATGCAATATAGTCTCCATCTGTGGCCAGGCCCACAAAATTCTTCTCATTGGTGTGTCCAACAAAGGAACGAAGACAATGAAGATTATTGACATTCCACATTTTCAACTGACTATCTGTTGAAGCTGAAACAATATCTTCTTTGTTTAGAAATTTGACATATGAAACAGCTTTACGATGACCTTTGAAGACCATGAGAGCTTCCTTCATATTTCGTAAGTCATAATAATGTACACAGTGGTCAGCCGAACCAAAGGCTAGATGATAAGAACTGCAGGGATTAAATTTCACGCAGCAAACATTTGCTTTTGCTTCCAAAGAAGCCACAGAGTTCTCCATATTCAAATTCCAAAGCTTTACTCTGGCATCATCTGAACCTGATGCAATGAGACGTGAGTCAACAGCATTAAAATCCACACTCCAACAGCGTTTTTCATGTTCTTGGAAAGTCTTTGTTCTCTGACCAGTAGCCGCATCCCATACAGTAACAGCCCCTTCATAGTCACTGCTTGCCAAAACATTTTTATGATAGGAATTCCAGATGATACATGAAATTTTTGAGGTTGACATCATTTCTACACAGGGATAATGAATGTCGACAACATCTCTAATGACTGATCCATATTCAAACACTTTGATTCTTTTAGTTACACCAGCAATAGCAAAAAATTCATTGTCCTTGTCAAACTCTATACTAGAGACAATTGTTGAGTTATTGAAAATGTCACTGGAATAGTTTAGGGTTGCAAGAGGTCTTAAATAGTTGTACCGTGAGAATTTCACTAAATTCTCTCTGAAAGTGTCCAATCCACCAGCACTCACACTTCCAGCATCCACAGACAATGAAGGTCTCTCACTCTGCCTACCAAAGGTGACCTCTTTAGCTCTTATATTAAGGTAACATTGCATAAAATCTTCAAAATGAGTGTGCATTCGTTTCCTCCGGGAAGCAAGTCTATTTTCCACAATATTTCCTGACAGACGCTTCTCATTAAAGCCTTCACTATCCTGTGGTTGTGCCTCATCCTGAGGTGTTGAACTGTCAAGAGAATTTGATGCACCAGTCTTTTTCTTGGATTTTATAGATGATGTTCTACTATCAATACTTGCTGATAATTCTTCTTGAACACAATCCTTCAAAATTCTTTCCACTTCTTGTAAATCGTTTTTGATGAGAGAAACCTCTTTATTTAACAAATCCAATTGGGCTTCCTTCAACCTCAACAAGTGATCCAAAAATTCTTGGAGTAACTTATTCTGTGAATAGGTTGATTCGGCTTCAAGAACACTTTTTCGTTGAGTTAGTAACTCAAGAATTACATTAACATCAGGGAGTGTAAGATTTCGAGATTCTGTGGAGACAAACTCTCTGAGACCATCAACTGGGCTCTGTGCCCATTCTCTGGTATTGCTTGAGGTGGCACTGAATTCATTTTTCACTTTGGACTTGGCTTTGAACTTTGAGATCAACTCATTTAGGAGGTAGTTCGGGAATACATGGTCAAGGGACCCCACAGACGAACTGCATTTGGGACATCGACCACTTGATTCCAAGGACTTGGAAATGCACTGGTGGCAAAATGTATGTCCACAACGTGTAATGTGTGCTTCTTGAATAAGTTCAAAGCAAATAGGACATAAATAATCATTATTTTTGTCCTCAAAAGACCCACCCACGCCATTAAGAACAGCTGGATGCTGACGTTTGGCAGGACGGCTCCGTTGAGGAGTAGTGTTGTGGGATGAGGAGGGTGAATTGGATGCCATTGTTGCACAAAGAGCACGTCACACTCTGATTTCCCTGAAACAACACAAATAATGCTAATTAGCTCAAATGTCATGGTCCACTATTGAAAAAGTTTGAATTTAAAATCCTTTGACAGAAAGGTTCTGACAAAACTATTTATGGTTGCACAAGGCCAGTTCTGAAATGAATTTGGGAACCACTGGGTGTACTCAGGCAAGTGTGTAATAAAGCAGTTGCAAAATACATGTGAAGTGGTACACAAGACTACAATAAAATAAAATAAAACGAATATTGGTCATACAATATTAAAGAGGAATACCCAAGGGAATACCTCTCCAAAATTATCTGATTTACAGGAAAAAAGAAGATAACAAAAGTAATTCTCATGACATTATTGAGCAAGGAGCATTAGGTGTAATTGTTTCAGGGTCAAGGTCACCCATGTATGCAATTATGGCACAAATCAGCACAAACAAATTTTGCCCAGAAATCATACAAACCAATTAAATTAATTTCATTAAAAGCAACATAAATATGGAAGATTTGCATAAATCCTGCAGTGAATGCTTACATAATTTAAAGGCAGAATGAAGAAAACTAATGAGAAATTTACAACTGAAAAATGAGGAAAAAAGTGACTTACAAGTTTATTAGCTTCTGTAAGCGGCCATTGGAAGCTGCATCAACTTTTTGCGCTTCCTCTGTCAATACACAGCCACCTTTATTGCTGTTGGCTCCCAGCACTATCCCCTTCTGCAAAGAAAAGTTTGACATGCGTAAATAAAAAACAGCACAACCATGTAAAAAGTTCACAAAAATCGTACACATTTCAAAGCCCTATCAAACATTTCAGTTGTTTTAATAAATGGAAATGGTGGAGGGCTGCAGTAAGACTAAACAGGAAAAGAAAGGAACGTAGATATAACAAAATCGAGGCAAGAGGTAGTGCAGACGGCGTTGACAAGCGAAAACACTGCTGAAATCCGCAGGTGTTTCAGCAGATTTTGTATAGGTTAGGGTAGACACTTTGTACGGAAGCTAGCCTGAGTTCACCTCACGTCCCCTGGTTGTAGCTCTCAGTTCAAGGAAATCGATTATTCCACTAGATTTGAAACAATTAAAATTTGAAATGAAAATGTGATCTCACAGATCCCATCCCAAAATAGCTGAATGTGCGCTCTCCAACCAGGACCAGAAGCGGGGCGTGACTTATTCTTTGAATATACCTTCACATTTTCCGCGCAGGACGCCAGTGTGCGAGATGAGCAAGTAGATTTCAACATAAGCAAAGATCGAGAACAATTCAATATCATGTTCAGCACACAAACTTCATGTGCTTGAAGAGGCGCCACTCAGCTGCTGAAGAAGGTAGCACACGCACGGCACGGCACTGGCGCGGGCGCGGGGCGCGGCGCGGCGCGCAGGAGGAGAGGTTCGGGG